AAGCACTGCCAGGAGCAACCCCCCAATCACAGAGCTTGGAATCGTCCCTGAGCACTACGAGATATGATTCCTCACAACACCACAACAACCAAAAAAAAAAGCAAACATCAAGTATTAGCTATTTAGAAAGTGATGGTTAATACTGTACATTGATTTGTAAACACTTTTTATACTTTGAAATATTTTAGACATAAGTAAAATATTTTAATTTTAGTCCCTTTCCCTTCCTCCAGTCTTTTCTGTATCACACACAAACACACACACACACACACACACACACACAAAACAAAAATACCCTACATTCATAGATAAAAGTCTAGTATTTCTTCTCCAACATCTGTTAGAATAATACAGATTCACTTCTGCCAAAGAGAATGAGTATGTTTATTATAAGGTTTTAGTAGCAATCTGTTTATTTATCCCAGTAATATTTTTAAAGAGGATTACTAGAAGGAACAATGGTAAATGCAAAGAAATCAGTTACTGATGATGAAATCTCAGAAGTTTAACTCTTGGGTAAGTAAACTATATTAAATGTATGAAGTCTTCTCCCAATCCCACAATATAATGACCACTTCTACATGCAAATTTATACTTATTATGAAATCTAATAGTCATAATCCAAGACAGTGAATATTTATTAGGGGGAGTGAACACATTTTCATACATTTTTGACTTGTCTATTTATTGTAAGCAACACGAGAAATTGGTCTTGTACTATATTGTATTCACAACTACTATACTGGCACTCTGATGGCCCACAGGAAAAGGACAACGGAGTCAGACAAAAATGACAAAGAAGAAGTCAAAGCCTTAAACTAATTCGACTGACAACAGGGCAGAAGCAGACACACTTGGATCTTCACTTTTGAAGTAATCTACTCTTACATCAGGTCATTGGGTTGTTTCACTTAGTAAAATGAGAGAAATAAAAGTTAAACATATAAACTTCTAAGAATGAGTGATGGGCTACTGCGTCTATTAATACTGCATTTGATATACAGAATGATCATGTCTCTCTCAGCTTGTACATTCTCAAACTCTTATTTGTCTTATTTTAATTTAAATGTTATTTTTAGAATTATTATATTTGATATATAATAGGAGCATCGTATAAACAAGAAAAGAGATTTTGTGTACCAGTTTTCATATTTCCAGTAATCAGAGATGAAAGGGAACATGTGAACATTTTAAAATTTTATTGTTTGGCCAGAGAGATAGTCCAATGGATAGGGAGGGTACTTGCCTTGAACAGAGCCAACTTGGATTCAATCTCCAGTTCCCCACGTGATGGTCCCCTGAGCCCTGCTAGGAATGATCCCTAAGCACTGAGCAAAGAGTATGCCTTGAGCACCACCAGGTGTGACCCAAAAACACTGTAGCACTGATCTCCTGCAAAACAAACAAAAACGTTTTTTCTGAAAATCTGACTTAATTGCTTTTGGAACGTAGCTAAAGTCAGAAATGAATGACTTTTGGTTTGGGCATTCCCATGTCTAATGCATATTGCCAACCTTCCTCACTTTCAAGAGTCATACCTGCTAGTATATTTCGGGAGAGGGGTCAAGTATTCGTCCCTTCTGCATTGTCCAGCTGGACTGCTTGCCGGTTCTGTGCTCCACTCCAGATTTGTGGCTCTATTTAGGACCATCGTGCACTTTGCTCTGTTGTAAATCTGAACTCTGCAGCCTAGCAAAGCCCAAACTTTCCAACCAATTAATTCTTGTTTTGTCTTTTGCAGTGCTGAGGGTCAAACTCAGGGCCTCACACATTCAAGGGAAGAACTCTACCACTGAGCTACGTCCCTAGTCCAATTAATTAGATTTGTCCTCCTTTCCTGCTCATTAAGCCCAATGCAAACATCATTTTACCTGATAATCATATATCTCAATGTACAAATATGCTAGTCTCTTAGATTGGGTTTGAACTTTATCACATTAAGGATTAGACACTAGATCAAGGTAATTTCACCAATAAAAATGTTACTTTGTGAGCTCTCAGTAACTGGTCTTCCCCTGGTAACACTGCTTGGTACTACCAAGTAATGCAATAGTACTGCATAACAATGAACTAACCATTCAGGGACCCAAATATGGCTCAGTACTATCACATATACTTTGCAAATATGAGACCCTGGGTTTAATATCTGGCAATGCAACAAACAAGTAAACATTATTTGTTCACATGTTTGCAGATCAGTTGGAGTTTAGCTGATCTAGTTTTAGCCAGATAGCTCAGCTTTACACTACAGCACCTGGAAAGGGAGGGCAGGACTCCAGTATGCTAATAGATGTCTAATGATTGACTAAGGTAGCCCTGCGTCTCTTAGCATCCTATTTGGGATATACATGAACAACTATGAACAGCTGAGAAATTGATATGGTCTTCTCAAAAAGCAAAGATCCAAGAGAACAACTAGAAATATGTGTGGCCATTTCCTGTCTAGGCTCAGAAACAGAAGTTTCAACTCATTCTGTTGACCAAGTGATCTGGTAAAACACAAAGATTATATATTTTGCCCCTTTAATGAAAGGAACTACAAAGCCACATGACAAAGGATATAGAGGCAGAGCAAGTGAAGAACTGAGGTCCTTAACCTACCATATGAAGCTGACTCTATACCTTAACAATATATATCTGGACCAAGGGCCAAGGTACCAAAGGGAGAACCAGGGCACAATTTCATACTTGTGTCAAGGGAACAGTTTCTCCAGCAAGTTGTAAGAGATACTGTAATACTGGAAATAAGTTATTTTTGTTGAAGAGATACCATTGGGCTACACTAGCACGCGACAGGGACAAATGGAGACGTTACTGGCGCCCGCTCGAGCAAATCGACGACTAACGGGAAGTTAAGTGATTAAGTGATTGTTGATCATATTCAGCAATCTGCACACTTTTTATTTTCCTAAATTATCTATTTTCCTCCTACCTATCTCTATCAAATATCTATTTGATTCATCAAACCTTCACAAAACTTTTTCACATAAATATCAGTCAAATATCTAAATATCTATTTGCCTCATCAAATCTTTACAAAACTATGGGGGGAAGTGGAGGGTTTGGGCCATATCCAGTTACCATATAGCCCCCAAGCACTGCCAGATTCAAGCAGTACAAAGCAAGTGCTTCATGCTTGCCTTGCACATAACTGACCCAGGTTCAACCTCCAGCACCCCATTATCGCCCCCTGAGCTTGTGAGGAGTGATCCCTGAGTGCAGAGCCAGGAGTAAGCCCTGAGCACAGACAGAAGGCCCAAACACGCGCGCACACACACACACACACACACACACACACACACACACCAAGTGTTTTAACCCCTGTGCTCCCTCTCCAGCCCTTAAGGGTCACATTTAGTATTACCAAGAATTGCCTGAAACTTGCCAAAGGAACTAGTTCAAGGCCATACAGATATTTTTTTAAAGCATGGGAATCGGAGATATCCCAATGGTTAGGGTCACACACACTACATACTGAGATCTGAATTTGAACCCTGGCACCAAATACCACACCCCAACACCAAATGCCACACCCCAGCACCAAATACCATACCACAGCTCCAAATACCACGGCCGCAGCACTGCCTGGCATAGCTGGGTATATCTTGCCCACAAGCACTGCAATGTTAGCTTGGTGGTCCCTGGTACTGCACTCCCAAAGTGCTCCCCATTCTTGGACACTAACATTGAACAGCCAGACCCAGTCTGTCGAGTTTAGACATGATTGGTCCCTGGGCACCCTAAGCAGAGCACAAGAAGCCAACTAAAATGCTTTTTTTTTTTTTAAACCACAACAGTTGTCTCTGTTGTTTTGATGACCAAGACTTTCTGGAAAAACTGTATTTTGGGTGTGAGATGTTCTTTAAAATATTTTTTCATCATTGGTTTATAACATCATGTAAGTTCAAGTGCTTCGCTTCACACCTCTGTATGTGTCTTAATAGTTACCAGAAATAGTCACCCTCCACCAGAGTTCCAGTGTAATTGCACCACAAAAAGACCCCATGGCTATGACTATCCCGCCATACTCTCCCTGCACTAACAAAGCTGCCTATTATCTGTGGATGCTGAAATCCCTCCCTGCCCCCCACCCCCAAGACTGTATTCAGCCTGTTTGTCTAGAATTGCAGTGACTCAAACTGAGGATGAAAACAGACGTCTGTGGCCACGATGGGGGCTTCTTCTGTGTTTCACAGAGCAGCATGGTATGGGGGAAAGCCAAGGAACTCAGAACCAACTCTGCCACCGGGTGCCTTAGTATTTAGGTGGGAGGCTAATTTAATTACTAGCGTATATTTAAAAACATCTTGTTTCGCTACAAAACTCAAAGGTAAAACACGACTGCTGGAAGAGTCTAGGGACAGAGCTGGGTTAGGGAGGAAAGCTTTTCCAGAGGGAACCGGGCCATTCTTTTCTTAGAGGGGTCCTCTTCCAAGGCCACCTTCTGGCCCACTCTGCATGATGTCTTCTGCGTTGCTACAGTGCTCTCTGCCAACTTAAGCCACCTGCTCTTGCAGGCTATGCTCGCTGTCTTCCACGTCCACACTGCCTACCTGAGCATCTGAACCTACCACGCCTTTCCCAGGGGTAACTGTCCTGACCCGAGAGTTCTCGGTCGGTACCTTTGGTCCACACCGCAGAGCCCAGGGCTGGGCGGATCTGCCTATGCCTCTGAAGCGTGCGGGAGAGATGTCCTGGTTTGGGCCACGGGTGCTGTCACCAGGCTTCAGAAAAGTCAGGCAGGGATTTTCCTGGGCCCAGTGCCCCGAGGCAAACACGGGATGGACGATGGACGGCCCAGCGGAGCTAGGAAGCCAGGCGGAGAGCTGGCTCTCTCCTCTCCTCCCTCCCCTGGCGCAGGCCGGGCGTCCAGCCCCCAGTTCGCGGGTGGAGACCCGCAGGGGGCGGGGGGAGTGGATGGGGGGGGGGACGGGCTAGCCGGCTGGGCTGCCCTCTCCGCAGTGACGTCCCAGGGGGTGGGGGCGGAGGGGCGACGGCTTGGCTCCGCGCCCGGCCCGCCTCCTGCGGGTGCCGGCTCCGTCGAGCTTGGGAGATGCTGCGGCCGCCGCCGTGGCGGTGGTGCACGACGCTCCGGGGTTCGCCCGCTCCGCCGCCGCCTCGTGCCCCCCGAGCCGAGCCATGCTGCGGGGAGCCGCGCTGCGAGCCTGGCTGCTGGCGGCGCTCCTGGCGGGGTCCCGGGCCGTGAGCGGACGCCTGCTGAGCGGTGAGTGCACAGCGGGGCGGGAGCCGGGAGCTGGGCCCCGAACTGCCTCGGTGCTGACCCCCCCTCCCCTGCACCCCAACTGCTGCTGACGGCCTGCAGGGCTCCGGGGTGGGTGGGGTGGCGCCCGTCCCGCGAAGGAAGGAACTCCGCTCTTCGACGCCCGCCCTCTGCTCCGAGGGGAGCAATCGCCCCGCGGTGCAGACCAACGCCGGTTCCCTTTGGATCCTGGCAGGATCCGAGCGAGCTCCTTCCCCAGCCCGGGGCACGGGATTCGGGGTGACGGGGGGGCTCCAAGCGCATCCCGGACGGCTGCCCCAGCGGGCGTCCCCGTTGGCCAGTGCGGCACCCACACTCGGTGCTGGATCACCGGCTCCCCTGTCCTGCCCACGCACGGCCCGGGGAGGGCCTCGCGCCCGGGTACTGGGGGAATGTGAGTCGGTTGTGCCGACGGGACCTCGCCCGGTACTCCGGGTCCTTTCCTGGGGGAGCCGGGAGGGTGGCGGGATCCAGCGGCGCAGGGAGAGCCCTAGAGGTCGGGAAAGCAGGGGGTCAGCGGGACCAGCCCCGCCTGACTCGCTCGGGGATGACTCTCCGTTTCCTTCCTCCGCCACTGTCACTGCAGCCTCGGACTTGGACCTCGGAGGAGGTACAGTGCTCTGTTTTCGCTCGTTTTGCATCTGTGCTGCATGTCGGGCGTGTGGGAGGGGTCGGGGGGGAGGGCGAGAAGGGGGAGCACTGTCGCGCCCCTCTCTCTCCGCTCCACTTGGCGGGAGCGGACAAAAACAGAGGGAGACACCGGGCAATGCAAAGCCCCGCGGAGTTTTACTGCCGGCCCAGCTGACTGTCAGCACAGTTGGTTTCGGGATAGGAGTGGGGTGCGAGCGACAGCAGCGGAGGAGGGGGGGATGGTAACTAACGGGTAAGGCTGCTAGGGCTCAGTCCTTGCTCTTGGGGAGCAGAAAGCCCTCCCACCCTTCCCTTTCCTGCCAATGAGAAGAGAAAGACTTCCTGGAGGCCGGAGAACCAGATGGCCCAGGCCTGTTTCCAGCTCTGGCTCGCTGGCACTCACCCACTTACCCGGGTCTCCAGGCCAGGCAGACCATACAGGAAACGGTGGAAGGTGTTAGAGTTTCCCTGGATAATCCAACGGTGGAAAATGGGAATGCCAGGAAATTCAACTCCAGTCTGTCTTATACTGGGGTCCAGGCTGGAAGTTCTAGGCTCATTTGTTTTCCTCACCAGGCTCTACCCCCCAGGGGAGTATCCCTGAACCCCTGTCTACCCAGCACACACACACAAACACACACACACACACACACACACACACACACACACTCTGGAGCACTCCCCTTAGAGAAGTCCTGCTTTTGAGGCCCCCTAATTTGCCAATGGGCAATTCTATTAAAGTTTCTCTGTTTAGTAGCAGAAGACTGACCCCAAGAAAAGAAGAAAATACAAAACTCTCTTACCTTGTTGCTTTTTGTCAAAGTTTTTTTTTTCTTTTTATTAGTGAAACACCATGTAGTACAGTTGTAGATTTACAATTTTTTGTGCTTGGGTTTCGATTATACAATGATCAAATACCCATCCCTCCATCAGTGCCCACTTTCCACCACCATGGATAATATCCCTCCCACCCCCACCCCCCCTATCCCACCCTGCCTCTGTGGCAGGGCATTCCCTTTTGTTCTCGCTCTCCTTTTGGGTGTTGTGGTCTGCAAAAGAGGCATTGAGTGGCAAACATGTTCAGTCCATAGTCTACTTTCAACATGCATCTCCCCTCCTGGGAGGATCCTCCCAACACCCTTTATTTGGTGCTCCCTTCTCTATCTGAGCTGCCCTTTCCCCTAGAATGCCCGGCTGGCCTCTAAGCTATGGAGTAATCCTCCTGATGCTATCTCAGCTATTCTTGGGTATTAATCTCATATTTTGTTACTTGACAAGGTGTTTTTTGTTTTTGTTTTTGTTTTTTAAAACAAAAACCAAGCAGTTAAAGAGTAATTGAAAATAAAAGACCACAAGTGTGTTCTGGATTATCTGTTGTGCTGTTTCCTTTTAGCACCAAAAAAGCTGTTGTCTGTGGCCTTGTGCTCTGCATGCTGGACAGTTAGAACGTAACGAAGTCTATCTGGCTCCCTGAACAGTGGCAAAATAAGAATTTCCATGAGACTTGGGAAGAGATCTTCAACCCAAAACCACCCTATGTGGCACTAACTCACACCTACAGCTCATGCATGGTTGGACTTTTTCCTTACAAGGGATTCCCCTTGTTAAAATTTGGTTTTCATTTCATAGATCTGAATCAAGATACAAAGGCTGACTGGAGAGATAGCACAGTGGTTAGAACACTTGCTTTGTACCCAGTCAACTGGGTTCAATCTCCAGTACCATATGAGGCCCTCTAAGCCCTCCAGGAGTGATCCCAGAGTATAGCCAGGTGTGGCAGAAAAGAAAAAAAAAGAAAAAAAGAAAGGAAGAAGGGAAGAAGGAAAGAAAGAAAGAAAGAAAGGAGGAAAGAAAGAAAGAAAGAAAGAAAGAAAGAAAGAAAGAAAGAAAGAGGGAGGGAGGGTGGGAGAGAGGGAGGGAGGAAGGAAGAAGGAAGGAAGGAAGGAAGGAAGGAAGGAAGGAAGGAAGGAAGGAAGGATGGATGTACTGGTGAAATGGAAGCCCATCCATTTGTCTGAGATGGTCTACAGCCAGATGGATGTCATTTATGATATTTATATTCAGTCTCTTCAGATAACATGTCATTACTGCCTCAGTGCAACCTGAGTCTGCAGATAAGAGGGGAGTGGGAAGTATGTTCACGTTAGCAGACATAGATAATTCTGCTGATAGCAACGTGACCACCATATTACTCCATTTCCCTGAGGCTTTGTTTTCTCATCTGTAAAATGGGGTGTGCACAATATCTACATCCGGGAATTATGATGAGGTTTCAATAATGTAATATATGTATGTAAACGTAAAAGTCCTTAGTATAGTTCATGACACACAGTAAGAGTTCAGTAAGCCATAGCTGTTGTCTTTAAACAAGATCAGTAACAGAAACCCCAATGGATCTGATGTCCTTGCTACATTTCACCATAAACTGAGCAAATTCTCAGTCTTGCAACCTAGACAGAGGGTCCCAAGGTAGAGAAAACTGCCCAACATCAGACTACCTATCTTACATGAAGGGACCCCCAAGCAGATATCTCATTTTAAACCAACCATACAATCTCCAGAGACTCCCTGACTGCATGAAAATAGTAATTGTATGCCTCTAAGTGAAGCCATAAATCTCCATCTACTTGCATTTTTTAAAAAATGGGGAAATGATGTGGTTTAGAGTTAAAGTCCTTCCTCAAAAGTATCATGCTAAGCGAAATGAGTCAGAAAGAGAGGGATAGACATAGAAAGATTGCATTCATCTGGGGGATATAAAGCAACAAAATATGAGATTAATACCCAAGAATAGCTGATATCAGCACCAGGAGGATTACTCCATAGCTTAGAGGCCAGCCGGGCATTCTAGGGGAAAGGGAAGTTCAGATAGAGAAGGGAGCACCAAATGAAGGGTGTTGGGAGGATCCTCCCAGGAGGGGAAATACATGTTGAAAGTAGACTATGGACTGAACATGTTTGCCACTCAATGCCTCTTTTGCAGACCACAACACCCAAAAGGAGAGAGAGAACAAAGGGGAATGCCCTGCCACAGAGGCAGGGTGGGAGGGGGGGTGGGGGGGATATTATCCATGGTGGTGGAAAATGGGCACTGGTGGAGGGATGGGTATTTGATCATTGTATGACCGAAACCCAAGCACAAAGATTTGTAAATCTACAACTGTACCTCATGGTGCTTCACTAATAAAAAAAATTAAAAAATAAAAATAAATTTAAAAAAAGTCCTTCCTCAATACCTTAGTTCAATCCCCAGCACACATTAAAAAATAAAAACAAAAATGTCTGCTTTTCAACGATCTGTAAGAAAACAAATGAGCATGAAATTCTTACATGACACCAGAGTCACAATCACTGCATCCCTATGATGGAAGAAGAACATGTTTGCTCTAAAAACCCTGACATTCTAATCATCCATTGAGGTGTAATCGAAATTCTTGCCTGGGAAGGCTTTACTTAGATGGCACTAGGCATCTCAGCTCTGATACTTTGGGGGACACTGATAACAGGCTATTTTCTTTTCTTCCTAGGGCAGCCGGTGTGCCGGGGAGGGACCCAGAGGCCTTGTTATAAAGTCGTCTACTTCCATGATGCTTCTAGAAGAATGAACTTTGAGGAAGCCAGAGCTGCCTGCAGGAGGGATGGGGGCCAGCTAGTCAGCATGGAGTCTGAAGATGAACAGCGATTGATAGAAAAGTTCATTGAAAACCTCCTGGCATCTGATGGTGATTTCTGGATTGGGCTCAGAAGACATGAGGGGAAACAAAACAATAGCACAGCTTGCCAGGATCTTTATGCTTGGACTGATGGCAGCACATCAGCATTCAGGTAAGTTCACCACAGTGGTGAACTCATGTGACTAAACTCCAAAAGTAAGCAAGTTGAATCCACATTTCCAGGTTAGTGGGAAAAGAAGACAGAGCTATGCAGACCCCTGGTGTACAGCAGACACTAGAATACTAGAAGTGTGGCAAAGGTGGGGACCCAGCCTTGGGTCTGAGTTCATCTCATATCCAGTGAGTTATGTCTGGGTGGATGAAACCCAGAAGTACTGCTTCAATAGCAGTGGATTTGGCTATCTGGCCTTCGGGGTCAAGAACTTTAGGGAGAGGTTGAAGGTCTCTGTTTGGGCTCCTGACTACAGGGAATTGTGATGATAGGCAAGAAATCAAAGCTAAGATCTAATTCTATGGATAGCCAAGAATTTATACCTTCCTAAAACCAGAATCACCCATCATACCCCACCTTGGCACCATGGCCTTACTATCAACTTTCTTAACAAATACAATAACGTGAACAAAACTCAAAAATATCAAAATTAGAAGTCACACCTAAGACAAAAAATAGTTATAAGAGTTATAACAAATTTACCATAGTTGATATATTTTTACAATGAAATGTTTATGCCAACGAAACACTAAAAGTGTAGCCAACAAAACATTAAGAAATAGAGACTGGAGAGATAGTTTAGCAGTTTAGCAGGTGTTTGCATTACATTTTCCCAACCTATGTTCTATTCCTAGTGCCACATATGATACCCCAAGCCCCGCCAGGAGTAATCCCTGAGCATTTCAGGGTATGGCCTAAAATAAAACAAATAAATAAGCAAAAAGATTAACATATATAGTATGTGGGGCTGGAGAGATAATATAGTGGGTAAGACACTTGCCTTGCACCTATCTGATGTGGATTCTATCCCTGGCAACCTTATGAACCCCCCCCCTCCCGCAAGCACCACCAAGAGTAATTCCTGAGTACGGAGCCATTGAATACCCCTAAATATTGTCAGGTGTGATCCAAAACATATATATGTATATATACACACATATATATGTATATAAGTAAGATCTCTATATATATATATTTACCTGTTATATTTAAGATAGCAGATGAGCATCTATGAAGGTCCATCCATTATGTTCATGAAATCTGCATCTTTACCTGCATTCTAGGATCAATAGCTTCTGAAGGATTCTCATGGAACTCTCTTCCTGGAGGAATTTCTTAAAGGAAAATAGTAGGATGAACTATATGTCCCACCACTGCAGCTGGTCCCAGTGCCATTACTGATACTGAATGATGCTCAGTTTAGACTCCCTCACCTTCTGCTCAAGGGGCCTAAATGGCTTACCTTGTGGCATGACCTAGACCTTCATCCCGAGTCCACTTGTAGTTCTCAAGCTGTAGTGATTGCAGTTTTTCGTTTAGCATCTAAATTGGGTAGGCAGAAAACAAGAGTACCCAAGTAGATAATCTTGGCACCTTTAATAATGTATAAAAACAGATCTACCTCCTCTTTATTAGGGGCAATTTCCTTCAGTGGCTTTCTGTTTTGTCTCTTTTGTTTTGTTTTGGGTATTTGGAATCACATCACTCAGTGATGTTCAGGGCTTACTCCTGTTCTCTGTGTTCAGGATCACTCTTGACAGGGTTTGGGGGACCATACGGGGTGCTAGAGATCAAACCTTGATCCACTACATGCAAGGCAAGTGCCCTACCACTGTACTACTGCTCCAACCCTAATGGTTTCTCTTCTTGACTCTTAGATAGATTCCAAAATGCCCAAGTAGCAGCCATAGTTCATGGTTCAATCAGACCCTTGCCCTGGTTATTCTCCTCTGGGAGCCAAAAACTTCTAAACCCATAAAGCTCAGAACTGTAGATATGTAAGACTCACTCATTCTAAAAATAGTCCATTACTAGTCATCACAAGTGGGTTATCCCTTGGCTCTCAGAACCATGTACTCTCACACTTAGGTTCAGATGCTGATATAAAAGTCACTAAGTTCATTGGCTCTTAGAGAATGATGTCCCGTCAACAGAGAGGATTACCTCAAAGTGTTCCCAAAATGCTATTCCGACCTCCTATCAGGATGGCAGCTACAGAATGGTATAGTATGTGGTATGACTAGCAAATTCCTTGGCCAGGTGCTTATTCTGCACTTACTATGTGATAAAGTAGTTCTTTGTTCTGATGAGATGTTATATGGTATCCTGTGTTGGTAGATCACATACTGCAAAAGCCTTTGGATAGCCTTTGGATAGCCATTCTGCGCAAGTAGTTAACTATATGTACTGTTTGTACAAACTGAGCTTTGGCCATTGAAAGGATGTTCCTTTACCCCTTGAGCTTTCAAGGACATCTGTGAGCATGGCTGTTTTTATCCATATGGAGCTGTAGTTCCGTAGTTGACTGACCTATCCACAAATGAAACTTAGGCTGATCTATCATAAGGATTCCCTTATGAAGCTATAGTGTAAGCTGAGAGGGGAGCCTCTGGTATGACAGTGTTACATGTCATGAGATCATCTGTTCAAATGGCTTGTATGGTACACTTTAGTCCTAGATATACCTCTTCCATCTTATAATTGATTGCTTCCAGGCATGCCAAGCTCTAGTGAGGTCTGTCTCTCATTAGGGATTGTCACGAATTCCATATGACAAATTCCAACGAGTCCTCCTGATGACATTAAGTCAGTGGGATGTAAGCTTGTATCCTGTATTCACCAGTATTTGGAATGTTTGGGTACTCTTCGTTCCATTAGTAAATGGTCTAATAGTACCTCAAACATAATTGGCAAGTAGGATTGCATGGTCTCTGTGCCCCTTGCCTCATAGCAAGCAAGAGGTTGTTTTGCAAAAGATGATTCTTTCTCAGCTGCAGGAGACATGGCCTTAACCACATAATCCTAAGAGTCTGCATTGAGATTCTCTCATTAGGGATTGTCACAAATTCCATAGGACATTATTTTTATCACTACTGATCCCTCCAACATTAATGTCTCTGGGTAATATGGCCAAGTAGCAAATCAGCTTACACCACATCCTAAACTACTTGAGTTCCTTTCTGCTTTTGACTCTTACTCAAAGACAAGTATCCCCAGGTTTGAGATCCTCTGCATTTAGAACCAAAAGAGACCTACTAGGGGCTGGAGTGATAGCACAGCGGGTAGGGTGTTTGCCTTGCACGCGGCCAACCTGGGTTAGATTCCCAGCATCCCGTATGGTCCTCCAAGCACTGCCAGGAGTAATTTCTGAGTGCATGAGCCAGGAGTAAGCCCTGTGCATTGCTGGGTGTGACCCAAAAAGAAAAAAGAGAGAGAGAGAGACCTACTAAGCATTATGCTTCCCTCTTGAATTTATTGGAAGACACTTCAAATTATTGCAAGATGCAATTGTCATGTTCTTTAATTTGTCAAAAATGTTCTGGCATTCTTTAGATCATGACACATCTAAACCATTATTACAAAGTAGAAGTTTCTGAATCTTTTAATGTTTATCTTCAACCTCTTCAATGTACGGGAGGATATGAACTGAGTCTAAATTCCGAAATTCACTCACTAGTCAATTTCTGCCTGTTTGATTCAGTCCACGTCATGATAGCACTATAGATGGTATATTGCACAGTTTTCCTGCAAGATGTCTGAGCCATCCAACTCTCTTCACATCATATTATAACAGAAGGTAGGGGAATTCATATTACCTTTAGGCAAAAACAAATACATACTTTTATTCATTCCAAATGAATGTTAACCATTTATTATTCCCTTCCTGATGCATGTGAAAAAGAAAATTATCATCACATCTACACACTGGGTCCCTGAGGACATGTTAACCTGCTCTAGCAAAGATGCCACATCTGGCAAAGCAGCTGTAATTGTGGCTTCTTGGTTGAGTTTGTTCTCCTCTGGTACTTTTATAACCCCCCTGGGTTTTACAGGAGCCAAAACTAAATTTAATTAAATGCATTAAATAGATGTACTGTGAGGGAAATCGTGTTTGCATACCTCAAGCGTTCAAGTTGCTGCTACTTTTGACATTTTCCCCTGACAAAGATATTTATTCAGTGTCTCAGAGCAGATAGGAAAAATGCAGTTTCAGAGACTTATTATTTGATCTTCTCCATCATTATAGCTCTTAATCCTAAAAGGAATCAAAGTGGGATTATACCAACTACTTTTCATTTCATATCATATCATGTCTTTTCATTTCATATCCTTGAGAACTAGATAATAATCATGGAATGGAGTCCACCAGGAACTGGTTGTGGGTCAGAATTATATTTAAAATGCTCTCATTCTTGGGGCTGGAGCAATAGCACAGTGGGGAGGGTGTTTGCCTTGCATGTGGCCAATTGCGTTCGCTTCCCAGCATCTCATATGGTCCCCTGAGCAGCGCAAGAAGTAATTCCTGAGTGCAGAAACAGGAGTAGCCCCTGTGAAACACCTGATGTGACCCAAAAAGCAAAAATAAATAAATAAATAAATAAATAAAAATAAATAAAATGCTCTCATTTTAACGAGTCCTGATGACATTAGGTCTGTGGGATATAAGTTTATATCCTATATCCACCGGTACTTAGAATGTTTGGGTACTCTTCTTTCTCAGTAAATGGTTATTTGAAGAGCCACAGGTCCCAATGACAAACAGGGTAAACTATTACCATGTGTATTGCTGTGGTGATGAAGGCTCCTTCCTTCTGGAAATCTGGCCTCTCCTTCTATCAGTGAATCCCTTCATGGCAAGCTGGCTCAGGACCAGAAACAAGGTGCCAGGCCTAATAATCCATTCATTCCACTGTTGAAACGAAGCATCATAAAGCCATAAGTGAGGAGTAGGACAAGGCAAGGCAGGGTAGGAGGTATACCAACAAGTCTTCATGAGTTGGAGTAATAGTACTTGTACTATTAGTATTATTACTAATAGTAATATTACTCATTTGCCTTGCATATGGCTGATCCAGGTTCGATCCCCAGAACTCCATATGGTACCCTAAGCACTGCCAAGAGAGACCCCTGAGTACAGAGCCAGAAGTAAGCCCTGAGCACTGCCTGATATGGCCCCAAAACAAAAGAAAGAGAAAAGGGGGAAAGAAAAATGGTCTTTAGGCAACTAATGAGAGACAAATTCCAGTTACTCTGGCACAGTAACCAAGTTCAGTTACTGTCAGTTATTCAACTCAGGGAATGCAGCATAAAAATTTCCACTTGAAAATAGCAACCAGGCCTCAAGCAAAGCCTTGCTGGGTTGCTACCAGAAGACCTCTAGGCCATGTCTAAGGAGAACAGAGTTACATAGAACAGAACTATATAGAACATAGAACAGCTTAAACATCTGGGCATCAAGGCACAATCTGGGCCCAGGAAGGAAACAGTTCAGATGGGTAGCCTAGTAGACTATGAAGCCCCATCCTGAGACAACACCTGAAATAAATGCTCACGGCTGTAGACTTTCTGCCATTGAAGCCAGGACACACATATCCTGCACTGAATTCCAAGTGCCACTGGATAGTGGAGCTGAGATTACCCCATTTAAGAACCAGGGAGGGCTGGAGTAATAGCACAGCGGGTAGGGCGTTTGCCTTGCACGCAGCCAACATGACCAACACAGGTTCGATTCCCAGCACCCTATATGGTCCCCTGAGCACCGCCAGGAGCAATTCCTGAGTGCATGAGCCAGGAGTAACCCCTGAGCATCGCCGGGTGTGACCCAAAAAGAAAAAGAAAAAAAAGAACCAGGGAGACAAAATAAGAAATCAGGCAGCAGAGGCTGAAGAGAGACACATCAATCTGATGAAGTGGAAATAACTGAAAATGACTTCTAACCTCATCCCTCATCTGTTTTGAAATCCTCTGAAGTCTGATTATTTTGATGATGAATTTTCCACCTGCTTCCCGAGGCTAGTATAGGAAGGCAGTATAGCCACTGAAAAGTGCAGAGAGATGGGAGAGGCAAACCACTCTAGAGGAGATAAGATATATAGCTATATATTATATCAGGGCAACTGACTGAAAGAGAGACAGACTCTCACTAATAGCTGCTTTTTCTTCATAAATACTTTACAGACATTATCACATGGTAATAAATTCCTCCATGCAAAGAGGCCATGTCAAATGATTGACTATGATGTCCATATTAGAACGTGTGTGGTACTACTTATTGACAGGACTTCAATTCATTCTCTCTCTCTCTTTCTCTCTCTCTCCCTCTCATACTTAAATAACATTGTAAGTTTATGGTTCAGTAGAACTTGAAAGGAAAGGAAAGACTTCCATGTCATGGGGTATCCTTCTATTGCTTCCATTTTAACCCTTTTTCTACAGGAACTGGTATGTGGATGAGCCTTCCTGTGGCAGCGAAGTCTGTGTGGTCATGTACCATCAGCCATCGGCACCCGCTGGCATCGGGGGCCCCTACATGTTCCAGTGGAATGACGACCACTGCAACATGAAGAACAATTTCATTTGCAAATACTCCGATGGTAATGAATTCCCTCCCAATTATGTAGTTGAATTCTCCACCTCCTCTCTCATAAGCAGCTGCTAGTTCCAAGAATGTTTAATGTGGTCTCTGAGAAAATTTGTTGTGAATGCCAGCAATGATAAACATGGAGATTTCTTGTAAAAGGAAATGCAGATACTTCTTTAATGAGGAGTTATTCTAGGAAGAGAAAAGGACAACAGATGCTAAATGAGGTGGATGAAGAAAACAAAGGATCTAACTTAGTTGCAATTAAGTAAGAATTATGAGACCAGGAAAAAATGTCCTCTCAGAGGGCAGCCACAGAATCCTTATACTTTCCACATGTGAAGTTAACTGTAGGAGCTTAGAATAAGAAGAAGCGTGAGAGGAAGCGTCTCATCATACTCTCAAGTCTTCTAATAACCATTTGAAGTTGTTTATTAGGGCTTTTAAGAAATCAGAACAATGACCAGAGGAGGTAGATGCTAAAGAACACCAATTTCACTGGCACTGGGCAGACCAGTGATCACTCATATGGGCAGGCTTTAAGTCCCCAGGCTAGATTATATTGATACCTTGCAACTTCAACTTGCATTGCTTTGTTAGTTCTATTTGGGGATCAAATAATCCTCGCACTTTCAAATCTTGTTTGAAGTTGACTATGCTTTTGCTACAATTTTTTGCTGCTGATTGCTTTTTTTCAATTTTCTGTCTTTGCCCCTCTGAATAATTCTTTCTTCTCTCCAGAGTTCTGGCCCTCCCCATCAAACACAGTGTCTTCAGTAAGGGAACTGCAAAAACCAGTGCTGGGTTCTTTAGCGGATGGCCTCTTCAGAGAGATAAAGCAAGGCACTTAGGACAAATGGCTTTCCACCACTTCTGTTAATTATTCCCTTAAAGATCAGCCCAAAACACAAAGAAGGATAGAGTATAGATCTGGGAAATGGAGGTGGGCACATGGAAAAAATAAGCATATTGCTTTTTAACTGGCTACTCATCCTCCGGACGAGTTCCCACACCTCGGCATGCCACAAAACAATGGAAATAATCAGATCCTGGTCTCTCCAGACAGTCTCATGCCTCCTACTTTTCTCTCCTTTGCACTCTATGAAATACCCCAAGACTTTTTCATTGCTCTTTCCAGGGCTTGCAATACCCCTCTTTTCTAGTGATAACTCTCACCCTCAGGTTCAGGCTAAACATCACCTTCTTTCATAAGAACTAAGTGCAACAGAGGATCCTAGCTAATGACAGTGACACTGATGATAATGATGATGATGATGGTGACTACTTATGACAAATAGCAAAATTTGAATACGGTCTGTAGATTACATGATAAGCTACCAGTGCTGATTTGTCAAGTTTTTATCTCGGTGGGATGATAAAGTTTTGTAGGGGCAAATAAATGATAGATGCTTAGGCAGGTTTCATTCAGATGGCGTAGAAATTTGATCACTATCTTTATTTTTGTTTCTTTCTCAGAAAAACCAACAGCTCCTTCCACAAGGCCTGTGGGTAAGCTTTCCATTTGAAGTTTAGGTTACTTTGGATTATTTCTTAGCTTTTCTTTGTAGGTTCAGAAGCAAATATTCTTTATTATGAAACAGAAAGACCACCGACTGGGGGGGCAGGAGTGGTAGTAAAATATGCAGGGTGTTTGTCTTGCATGCAACCAACTGGGTTTGATCCTTTGCACCCCATATGGTCCCTCAAGCCTCACCAGGAATGAACCCTGAGTGCAGAGCCAGGAGTAAACCATGAGCACTGCTGGGTGTGGCCCAAAGATAAAACCCCCAAAATAAAGACCACAGATATTATCCCTGACCATTGAAGAGGTATAAATCACTTCTGGCTATGGAAAGTAGGTTCTCTCTCTCCCCCTCTCTCTCTCTCTCTCCCTCTCTCTCTCTCTCTTTCTCTCTCTCGCTCTCTCTCTCTCTCAAAAAAAAATAGTTCCAAACTTCTTAGTTTGTTATATTACATAACTGACTATATGAAAGGAATAATTCAATCTAATGAGACAAGAAGTGGGCCAAACTAATAACTGTTGTTTCTAGAAATGAGCCAAAGCTTTTCCTTTGGTACCTCAATACTTTATGTGCCTTGATGCCTATTGGTTGTTCCAGTGCCTGATTCTTAGCAACAAGGATATTACCAAGGAGATGAAGACACTGAAAACTCTAGGCCAACAAATCCATCCCTTTTACTTTCCCATGTTCATAAATAAATGGCATTGGAACTGTTTTGGGGCCTCCCACTTTGAAACTGTTACGACCCAAGAGTATTGGGGTTACATGCCCTTATCACCTCCTCAAATGCACTATTTCTTTCCAGGTGCAGGAATAGAGCCAGCAACACCTACATTTTCAGAAGACACACAGAAAGAAGAGGACAAAGAAACATTTAAAGAAAATAAAGGTAACAAACTGGCGAGCTAGTACAGGGGTTTAAGTTTATACTTTACATACAGCCGACCTAGGTTTGAATCCCCAATACTACATGGTCCCCCAAGCATTTCCAGGTGCAAGCCTGAAGGTGCCTCCAGCACCACTGAGTAATCCCTGACATTGCTAAGCCCAAGCAACATTGCCTTCTTAGGTCCTAGAGGTGAACCATGAGCCCAAATGGCCTAGCATCACCAGAAGTGGCCCCCAGGCTTCATGAGCTCTGACTAGAAGATTCTCGCAAAAAATAAAAAAAGAAAAGAAATATTTGTAATGAACTCTCCTGGAAAAACTGCATCCCAAGTTATCCAGGGTTACATTTCCTGCTCTGTTCTTTCGCCACAGCTACTTGAAAGCTGTAACTGGAGCTTTAGTGGTTATGCAAAATTACATTAAATATCAACTTTCATCAATGAGATATGAAGATAATGCTAGCCTAAGACAACTGGGGAAGTTAAGCTAGACAAGAGGTGAAAAATATGGATGAAGACAGAACCTTAAGAACCATCAAGAAGTCATGACGTGGGGAGTAGGCAAAGGAGGGCTCTGAGAGATTGATATGAAGAAATATAAAACCATAGAGTTCCAGTCATGATCTATAATATCCATGATTAATAGCATTGTGAGACAAACAAGAGAAGATAAAAGAAAATGGGAAGAACATTTTAGATTGCAAATGGAATATTCAAGAGCAAGTTTTGTTACTGGGAAACTTTAAAAAAAAACACTTAATTTTTCTGAACTTGAGTTTAATCGTTTGCATAATGGAAGTAACAGTCTTTTTATTGCAAACTTAAAAGTATTACTGTGCCCATAAAATACAGTATAATGCAAAACTATAATCTAATTCTGACATTAGCCACCAAGTTAAGGGTTCAACTCCCAACAAGATGCCCAATTTTATTTAGAACATCAACAAGTTTAAGAGATCCCAGGGTCCCCACACTTCTGATCAACTGCCCGAAATCCAGGGAAAATTCACAATCCCCTCAGATTTGATAATTCACTACAACTCCCAATTCAGAAAAACATTATAGTTATGACTACATTTTACTATAAAGGATAGAAAGATAATTGAAACCCAAGCACAAAAATGTGTAAGTCTGCAACTGTACCTGATGATGTCTCACTATTAAAAAATAAATAAATAAATATAAAAATAAAAAGCAAAAAAGAAAAAAATAAAGGATACAAAGAGAAGCCAAATGAAGAAATCCATAGGGTAAGGTCTGTGGGGGTTAGTTCTCAAATGGGGAGCTTAGCTTTTGAGTCCTTTCTTTATGAAATCATCATCCTTCCACACGTTAACTTCACCCACCACCGAGCTTTGGTGTACAGATTTTATTGAATGTCTGTACACCAAACATAGACCAAACACCAAACACAGACCATGCACCAAACAGGTATGTTTGATTTGCTCATGGGCCACAGAGCTGAATTCAATCCCTAGGCCTCGCTGCTTCCCCACTAGTACTACCAGCCCATCCATCCTCAGATATTTCTCCTCAACATAGACTGTGATAGGACTCTGATAAGACCTGAATGGCCCCTGGAAAACAAAATCACTACTATATCATGGGAAACCCCAAGTATTTCTGCTCTCCCTCCCAGGAACCTGGGACAAGAGCCAGTCAAATCCTTTACTGCATAGTAAATACAATGTATGAAAAGGCTTTGAAAAAAGTACAAAGTGCTTTGATAAAAGTACAAAAGTAGGTGGCATTTTATTGTTCATTATTATGACAGCAGCACTTAGAGTTTAATTTTGGTTTGGATTTTTATTTGTTTCTTTTATGTTCTAGTGTTTTCTGGTTGTGAAGTTTGCAGTCTTTTTTTTAAAAAAAAAAAAGAGGTGGGGGCTGGAGCAATAGCACAGCGGGTAGGGCGTTTACCTTGCAAGCAGCCGACCTAGGTTCGATTCCCAGCATCCCATATGGTCCCTTGAGCACCGCCAGGAGTAATTCCTGAGTGTATGAACCAGGATTAACTCCTGTGCATCACTAGGTGTGACCCAAAAAGCAAAAAAAAAAAAAAAAAAAGGGAAAGTATCTGGATGACTGGGAGTAAAAAGGGGAGTCAGTTCTTAATTCTTAATTCCCAAAGCCTTTAAGGGGAGAGTCTCTAGTTCTAAGACCTAATGGACAGGAAGTTCAGGAGGAAGAACTTTAAGTGCTAGTCACAGTCATGTGGTTCAGGGACACAACTGGAGCCAATTAGTCTTAGTCAAAGGCCCTGGAAAGATTCTACAGGCTGATTCATATGTTTTGTGTGACTTTCCCTTTCCTGGTTATAAAACACTGAGAGTTCTGACTTGCTTCTTATTCCTTCCCTTTTCCCCACACCATTTTAGTTTCCTGTCGTTACAGTCAAACACATCAGCACTCCTCAAGTATCCCCTATGTTGTTACGAGAGGAAAGACAAGGAAAGAAACTCTTTCCTCTGGGGAGAAAAGTAGTTCACAAAATTTACCTTCTGATATATTACAAGAGACTTCAAAAGTTAAACTTTTCTATAATTCTGGATAACAAGACTGGTAGAAGATCCTCATTTATTAAAACTAGGGGATTTTGCTAAAAGGAACTTTAAATTCATGCTAGGAAAGTGCTCTTTGGAATATACGCTGGTAACTATGGTTTTTTGTGCCTGTTCGAAGTACATAAAAACATCATTAATGCAGATAATGTGCATTCCTCCTTTCAGATGTTGCCTTAAATCTTGCCTACATCCTGATTCCCAGCATCCCGCTTTTCCTCCTGCTTGTGGTCACCACATTTGTATGTTGGATGTGGATCTGTAGAAGGAGGCAAGTACAATCTTGGTCCTGTACATCTTTATATCTTCTAAACTCTTTGAGATTTAAATGCGACCATGTTTGTTTCATGAAAAACAACAGTAGCTAGGCAAGAACAGCCACTGCAGATTTGAGAGTAAATTTTGTGCTAGTGAGGATTTCTGAAGTATTAAGCAATGTGCTTGGGCTGGAGCGATAGCACAGCGGTAGGGTGTTTGCCTTGCACACAGCCAACATGGCCAACCCGAGTTCGATTCCTCCCTCCCTCTCGGAGAGCCCGGCAAGCTACTGAGAGTATCTCGCCCGCACGGCAGAGCCTGGCAAGCTACCTGTGATGTATTCAATATGCCAAACACAGTAACAACAAGTTTCACGATGGAGATGTTACTGGGCCCGCTCGAGCAAATCGATGAACAACAGGAGGACCGTGACTGTGAAGCAATGTGCTTGGTTATAATCAAGATAGTGATCATACATTTTCTAGTCTGTTTTTTTGTTTGTCGGTGTGGGGTCGGGGGGGGGGGATGATTTTTAACCACATAAGTGGTAGATCTCAGTGATATTCTCCTCCATTACTCAGCCACGTGTTCTTGGGAATGTATGCATGCCATCCCAAAAATTGTTGAGTGAATTAAGTCTAGTGATAAAGGTAAAGGTAAAGGGCCTCCTTACTATTCTAAAGCATTCTAGTAAGCCTCTAAAGCTTACTTCAAATGAAATAAGCAGATCCTTATAAATTGATTTTACTTTCAATTGAATATACTAGTTCTCTAAATATTAAATAGCTATACCAAGTCACAGAGAATGCCTGTTTATAAACTGCATGCCAACATTTAGAAATAATTATTTTCATTATAGTCTAGGTAATGTGGTTATAATAGTGTTGTTAATTATATATTAATGTACAAAGTGGCTGTATCCCATCACCGCGAAGTGCTCAGTACCCTCCACCATTATCCCTGTGTCACTTCTAATCCACCTCTTCGTTCCCACACACACTTCCCACTACTTGGTAATCTGAGTTTTATAATCCAAGGGCAAGAATTTGCCAATTGTTTGATACTATCTATTTTCCCTTGTCTCTCTTTTTTTTTGGGGGGGGGTGCTTTTCTTTTGGTGGAGGAGGTCACACCTGGCAATGCTCAGGGCTTACTCCTGGCTCTGCACTCAGGAATTACTCCTGGTGGTGCTCAGAGGGCCATATGAGATGCCGGTGAATTGAACCTGGTTCAGCCACATGCAAGGCAAATGCCTTCTTTGTCTCTTTATATATCATAGTGAGTGAGATCATCCAGTGCTTATATTTCTCCTTCTGACTTATTTTGCTTCAAGAATACCCTCCAGTTTCATCCATTCATTGCAGTGAACAGCAATGTGTCATCTTTTCCTATGATATCCCACTATTTCTAAGATACCTGAAACTTTTTTCAGTTACCTCTTTAGTCTCATCATGGTATACTTAAAAAGGTTGGGTGTTCCCCTTTTACAACAGGTAAATTCCCCTTAACTAAGTTCAATTCTCTTTGATGACCAATTGGAGAGGCATTCGATTATTGTGATCATTTTACTTATTTCCTTTAAATTTAAATTTTGAATTATGTTCAAAATACTACATACAGCTTTTTCAGCCTACAGTTGGTTCTTGGTTTCCCTTGCTTCCTTTATGTAACACCTCACAGATCTGGGAGTTGTTTGAAGAGAAGTCTATCTATCACAGAGATTTCTTTTTTTAAAATCTTTTTTGGAGCCACAGATCTCTATGGTAGACTAATGAAGTCCATGGACCCCTTCTCAGTATGCTATTTTTAAATGCATAAAATAAAATACAATAGATTACAAGAAAAGCAACTATGTTGCTATATATTTGTGAAATATTTCCAAAAGTGATTATTTAACTCAGTAACACATGTACTTCTTTATTTAGTGTTAGGTATGTAGCACTGTGGCACTGTCCTCCTGTTGTTCGTTGATTTGCTTGAGCAGGCACCAGTAATGTCTCCACTGTGAGACCTGTTGTAACTGTTTTTGGCATATCGAATACGCCACGGGTAGCTTGCCAGGCTCTGCCATGTGGCGAGATACTCTTGGTAGCTTGCCGGATTCACCGAGAGGGATGGAGGAATCGAACCCAGGTCGGCCGCATGTAAGGCAAACACCCTACCTGCTGTGCTACTGCTCCAGTGTTAGGTATAGTTATCATAATTTTGTAATCAAAATTGGGCTGGGGTCAAAGTTGGTGCTGCTCAGGGCTTACTCCTGGCTTTTTGCTCAGGGATCTCTCCTGGGGTGCTTGGGGAACCACATGCAGTACCAGGGATAGAACCAGGGTTGGCAGCATGCAAGACAAGTACCTTACCCCCTGTACTATATCTCTGGTCCCAGAGCTAAATTTTTAGAGGGGCTTCCTCAGTGGTACTTGGGTGCCCAAGGCCACTCTCCGTGATACTTGGTCCAGTTGTGAGAGTCTGACACTCTGTGCTCTGGTCAGATAATGCAGTGCCACTTGCACCCCATGGTGACTCAGGGGCCACATCTAGCAGTGTTTGGGGTACCATGCACTGCCAGGGATTGAGGCCTTGTACACGCAAGCATGTGTTCTGCCTTATGAGCTAACTCCCGCCCTGAGTAGAGAGTGTTTAGAAGATATCTTAAGGCATCTGTAATAACTGTAATGAAATATGTAAATATCCATGATTTTTGTTGATAGAGCCAATGATGCTTTTTTCCTACTTGGTTTACTGTCTATATTCTTAGCTAAACAGTGGGAGAAACTTCACTGAGATATGTTTTTTTAAAATGTATTCTTCTTCCTCATCAAGTTCAATACATGAATCTTGTAGGGGCTGTGGGACCCTGGGATACCCACTAGCAGGAATGACTGCTCATCCCTTTAAACACAGTGGCACTCTCCTGTTTTCTCCCTCCCACACCCAATCCCTGGCTGTACGTGCGTCCAGAGAGAAGAGCAATGAGTGGCTCCCCAAACAATTTCCTCCTGCCCACTCAGGAAGCACTGGGGGTTTTTGGGTCCCCTTGTCTAAAATATTCAGCCCTGGTTTTCTTTCCTCCTAGGAGAAGGGAGGAGTCAGGCCCCACCACAAAGGAGCCACACGCCATCTGGCCGTCCCCTCACTCCGAGAACAGCCCCGACCTAGAGGTTTACAGTGTCATACGAAAACAGAGTGAAGCGGACTTAGCTGAGACCCGGCCAGACCTGAAGAACATTTCCTTCCGAGTGTGTTCAGGAGAAGCCACACCTGACGACATGTCTTGTGACTATGACAACATGGCTGTGAACCCATCTGAGAGTGGATTCGTGACTCTGGCAAGCACGGAGAGTGGCTTTGTGACCAATGACATTTATGAGTTCTCCCCGGAACGAATAGGGAGGAGCAGGGAGTCTGGGTGGGTGGAAAATGAAATATATGGTTATTAGGGCACACAGAAGGAAGCTTGGACTGATAAGAAAGGAAAAGAAAAGAGAATCAAAATTCTCCTATTTTTCATAAGGTAAACACTCAGAGAGTGTATGGAACTACCGGGATCGGACTCCAGGGGTAAGCATGATCCTTGTTCTCCCGTATTAGATCCCCAAGTTTGGACTATCTCCCTTATCCCAGACATATCCAACATGACCTTATGAGAAAGTGCAGTGCCCAGAGTGAAAAACAGATGTCAGATTTCTGGTGATATCTGACTTTCCAGGGACTGCACTTCCACTGACAGTGCTCAGGTTGGGGGGTGGGGGGAGGGGATGGAAGGGGGGAGCTGTGAGATGGGTTTCATCTCAGGGTTCTGTTTTTCTTGCTTTGTGTAGGTCCCACACATAATCATCAAGAGAGAGAAAACACAGACTCTTTCAAAGTCCACAAATAGCAGCCTCAGGCTGACCTGCACATCAGCAATTCTTGTATCTTATTTTTTTTTTTTTGTTTCTGCAGAGAATCAAATCAAATAAAAAGCAGGAAGCAGAATGTTAGTCAGTCTGTGTCTACAGCCCTTCCTCCGCCTGTGGCCTCGGGGGACCCTTTTTTCTTTCTCTTGACATCCAAACTTGGAAATATCCAACTTGGAAATACTTTAGAAACTAAAAATGAAATTGCAGTTGGGGCTCGTAGGCCTGTGTTCTCAGCCCTGGTATTGCATGTTTGATTCTGTTTAAGCTATTTATCGCAGCAATAAAATAATACTATTTTACTGATAATAATATGATCAGAATTATAATATGCTGGTAATTTTGTTTTAGGTATCTATTTCAAATATTTTTGGACAGAAATCCAGAGAAAAGTTTCTTGGCCTAAAACCAGTTATTTAGACACTGATGATCTGAGCACCATTAATCACCAGCAACCTCTCTCTAACAGCTTAATAATCGGGATCATTTAACTATTCCTTGGGTATCTTATTTCTGAGTAGTTTCTAACTTCTGGGTCAGAGCAGTAAGGAGTACCATTACTGCCCAATTACCTGCCTTTTTTGGGCAGACAACAGTGTGGAGAACAAAACATTACTTAGGCAGACTTTAGGGAAGTATATTTTCAGTTACCACGTTTCAAGCAAAAATAGTGACCACACTGTCTGAAGGACTGAACTGCTGTTCTGAAATGTTCAGCTTCCCATTTTGCTTCAAACTACCTGTCTCTCTGATCTGTCCCTTGATCCTCTCTATGTCCCTTTCCTCTCCTCGGTGCCCTTACTCAGCTACCAAACACCTCAGGGCTGGGATTCTATCTGCCTATAGACATTGTACCTCCTATACTCAAGGCAGAAATCAGCATGGAGTATACAAACAGTATTTGTTAAATCGATGAACAATTCATCTTTCAAACTATAAAGCACCCTAAATCTTTCAACTTAAAAGTTTGTAGAGCCTGTTTTTCCTACTCTACCGGGATGAAGGAGGTAACTGAGTTGTCTGAGTTTAAAAATCACTCCTGTAGTCCAAAGAAAAAGAAGCATAGTAATAAGTAAAGTCAAGTTGGATACTGTATGAATAACTTACTCTAATTATGTCCCTGCACCTTGAAATGAGGATATCTTGGCCATATCCTTGTAGGCTACAAGGAGGCACGATATATATACTTTCTGATTCAACCACCAGTACTCAAAAGTCATGCCCTCTTCTAACATAGTCGTGCCCTCGTCTAAGATACACTTTGGCTGTGAAAACACAAGCCAAAGATAAAAAGACTAAACTCTATGATGTCTCTCAGCTCTAAATATTTTATTTCAATAGCACAGCGGTAGGGCGTTTGCCTTGCATGCAGCCAACAAGGCCGACCCGAGTTCGATTCCTCCGCCCCTCTCGGAGAGCCCGGCAAGCTACCGAGAGTATCTCGCCCACACAGCAGAGCCTGGCAAGCTCCCCGTGACGTATTCGATATGCCAAACACAGTAACAACAAAGTCTCCAATGGAGGCGTTACTGGGCCCGCTCGAGCAAATCGATTGTTATGCTCACATTACTTATCATCAGAAGACATAGAGTAATGGTGTGGAATACCCAGTAGAGGGACCACATGAAGATTGAGGGAACTGCATGCCCAGAGGTGGGAAAGCAGCAAAGCCAAGCCCTCTTCTTTTTAATTTCAAAGAGCAGCAAGTGATTAATAATTGCTGACCAATGCTTTAATAATTAATAATTGCTGACATTCTATTATGACATCTTATTATCTCATTCCTACTTTGGACAAACTAGCAGGCTACCGAATGTAGCCTGCCCACACGGCAGAGTCTGGCAAACTCCCCGTGTCGTACCCAAAATGCCAAATACCAGTAACAATGATGGGTCTCATTCTCCTAAAGAGCCTTGAATATAATCTCAGGGCTAGGATGAAGGAGACGTTACTGGGGCCTGCTCGAAGCAATCGACGATTAACAGGATGATTTGTGATTTGTGATCTGTGACCAATGCTTGTATTTTTAAATTCTGAGTCTGAAAGAAATAGAGTCTAGAATAAGTAATCAGAGCAAGGACATCATAGGAAAATAGTTTTCCAAGATTAAAGAAGACCAGGTAGAACGTTTGAGTATATAAAGTTATTAAATATATATGTATATATATAAAATCACAGAAGTACAAGATTTATATGTTTTAATCAGCACAATTTAGATCCCTTCAAGAGATAAAAGTTTATGTTATTATGTTCCTGAGGTTGGTTTAAATTAGTATCAGCATAATTCATAGTCGCTTGACTGTATTAGAGCATTTAGGGAGAAGGCCAGTTAGAATTTCATGCAATACAACTTTTGCTGAAAGTCGGAAATGGCTTTACTTATTTTTACCACCAGGTGGCAGTGTTGTGATACAATAGAAATTTCATCTATTAAAGTTTCAATGATGAAATTTCAAAAGTTCATTCATTTCGAACAATTACTTTCCTATGACTATAAAGGAAGTGAAAGTAAAAGCTTCAGGAGAATATAACTTCTAGGACAGTACAGCAAAGTAATTAAAATCCTGGATTCTGGAATCCCAGTGTCTAAATTCTAAATCTTGTTGCTGTACAATCTTGAACAACTAAATTATTTAAGCCTCAGTTTCTTTGTCTTTCAAATTAACTGTCTTTTCAAATTAATTAACTTTCAAATTAAGTGTTTCTTTAATCAAATCACAAATTACACGCAAAACATTGACATTTGTTGAATTATTTCTCTCCATTTCGTTTGCTGAAGTCCTAGCCCCTGGCCCTTCAAAATGTAACAATTGTATTTGGAGATAGGGTCATTGCAGATACAATCGGTCAACATGATTTAGGATATTCTGGATTATTCTAGATTATTCTAGATTATTCTCTAATCCAATATGACTGGTGTCCTATAAAATAAGGAAATTAGAAAGCAGCAGAACATTCTAGAAGCTGAAGCCAAGAATGGGGTGCTGCTTCTACAACCTAAAGAATGTCAGAGATTGCTGGCAAATGACCGAAAAATAAGGCAAAAGATCTGACACTAGCATCAACATTCAAAAGGAACCAACTGCACCAACGCCTTGATTTCAGAATTCCAGCCTACAGTACAGTGGGATCACACATTTCCGAGGTTTAAGACAGTCTGTGATACTTACGGATACAAAGAATAGAAAATGTACAGCACATGATACCACTAATATGAGCTATTATTATCCCTGAACACTTTTAATCTAATTGCACTCAGGCAACAAGACTGCTCAATTCAATTTAGAGAAATTAAATTTTCCAATTAAAGTGCATTTTCTGGCTATCACAGATTTATATCCCCTTCCCCACCCCAACCTCATTGATGACATTCTGAGGAGCAACAAAAGGTTAAACCCCCCTCAAAGGAGGGAGATTTAGTGAACTACGAGACCAAACCATCATTGCCTGTGTTGAAACTCACACAGAAGTCAGTGGACCCCCTTCAGGGAGTCAGCAGGGTGTAAGATGTGGAGGCCCCAATTTTAGATCACTGAATACAGGCAATAAAGGTATTTGTTCTATGCACCATCAGGGCCTCCCAGAAGTTAGATCTGTAAGGTTCCTCCTTTCTTGGTATGTAGATTTCAGTCATTTTCCTTTAGTCTGAAAAAAATACTAAGAAAAGAAAGAAAGCAAAAAAACTTGGTGGGCCAGGGGGATAGAGCAAAGGACTAAAGCACATATTTCACATGCAGAACCCCCGGTTTGATCCCAGCATTGAACACTGACTGGACTGGAAGTCACTCCAGAGCACCTCCAGGTGTGGTACACACACACGCACACACACACACACATACTCACACAAATACACTCACACAAGCATACACACACAAACACACACACACAAACACACTCACACAAACACACACAAACACTCAAACACACACACACAAACACTCACAAACACACATATACACACAAACACACTTACACAAATACACTCACACAAGCATACACACACAAACACACACACAAACACACTCACACAAACACACACAAACACTCAAACACACACACTCACACAAACACACTCACAAACACACAAACACTCACAAACACACATATACACAAACACATTTACACAAATACACTCACACACACATACACACACTCACAAACGCACACACTTACACACACAAACATACACAAATACACACACACAGACATTTGTTGGCAGTTTCTTTCTTTTCCTTTTCTGGAATCTGGGATCTTTAACAGTGAGATCATCTAAGTAGAATTAAGGCTAAGAAACTGACCCCAGACTTCCCTAAAACCCCATAAAACATACAACCTGTGCCACACAAGTCCTCATCATTCATTTTATCCCCCAAGGCAATTAATAATCTCGATAGGGCTAGATTAGATTAGCATTGCAAGATAACGCAGTAGATAACTCATCCCTTCTCCACTCTCAAAGGAGAGGTTCAGCCCCACTGGGAAGGAACTAAGGGAGATCTGGAAGTGTTTATTTTGTGTGAATATTAGGAGGAGTATTTATGATCATGCAGGGTGGTCCCCAAATGTCTTCCACCACAAGTTGGCTCCAGGGCTATTTTTAATAAAAGGAATTATACTGGTGTGGGACCTTGTTTGGCTGTTCATAGGGGAAAAACTAACCAAAATAAGACACCCTGAAATAACTGAAAAATTGAACATGGGTTGAGAATAAAATTAAGGATTTCTCTTTATGTTTGGAGACTGCAATACTGCTTGGGCCCTGCAGTGTTGGGTGCCCCCAGGGTCACTGCCATGGTCCTCAGGAGGCCATGTGGTATCAGGACTCAAAGCTGAGTTGTTCACATTCAAGGCATGCACCCTGACCTCTGAACTACATCCCCCACTTTATCTTGTACTTGCTATGTGATAATAGCACAATGGTTTTGTAAAAGATAAAGGAGCTTGGTTGGGGGGGGGGGGGGTCCCTCCAATTCATAGCACAGTGTGTAGAACAATAGCCTTGCACCACCCCGGCATTCCATATGGTCCCCTGAGCCCACCAAGAGTAATCCCTGAGTGCAGATAAGCCAGGAGTAAGTCCTGATCACAGTTGGGTGTGGCCCAAAACCAAGAAACAAACAAACAAACACAAAAGATAAAAGGGCTTATCAGTTACGAAGCTTATAGTAAAATGACCCAATTTCTGAAATTTATATTCTAAAATACACTATGAAAATGATATGAAAGGGGAAAAATATCAGCACATTGTTGAGGTTCTGAATGAGAGGTACACTGAGGTTCACTGTCTTATTCTCTTTCTCTTTTTACCTATGTTTGAAAGTTTCTATTAAAATTTTTCACAAACAAAAAGGATACGAAGGAAGAATCACGGTTCTTTGCTTCTAATGAGTAAGAGAGTTCTTTTGGGTACATAAAGGGGAAAGACTTAGAAACTCCAGTTAGTTGCTCCTCATAAGAGACAATAAAATAACCTGGAGAAAAATATAGAACTAGTTTGACCACCACTAATCTCCACCAGAGCCTAGAACATGATTTTTTTTTTCTTTTTGGGTCACACCCAGCAATGCTCAGGGGTTGCTCCTGGCTCTGCACTCAGGAATTACTCCTGGCAGTGCTTGGGGGACCATACACAATGCTGGGAATCAAACCCAGATCGGCCTCGAGGAAGGCAAATGGCCTACCCCCTGTGCTATCACTCCAACCCCTATGATTTTTTTTTTAATGAATTGATACTAATTCACTGAGTGGCCTTGTGACAAGTGCTTTCACAGAAATATTGTTCAGCAAGCTAGATATTTTTATGAACCCCTGTGCTTATTTTTCATCATTTGCAATATCTCATGGGGAATCCTGTCTGGGGACCAGACATCCTACTCTATTCTTCCACCCTGCTCTGTGTCCTAGCAAATTGAAGGCAAGAGACTGTATCACTCCACATCTTTCCCCTACGACTTGGATAACAGGAATTTCCAGCAGTCGTATGTGGGCAGAAGGGAGAAAAGGTTATGGTATTTCTTCCCCACTTCCTTCCTGTTTTGATGTCTTAGCTACTGTAATTGTAGTACCCTCTACATAAACAGTTTCACTAGTCAACCCCGTTTTCCATATCTCACTGTGAGCCAGTAATTCTTTTATGAATATA